GCAAGTGAGCGTAGCGAACGAGCTAACCTGAAGGAAAGTGAGCGCAGCGAACGAGCTCCAACATACAGGTGAGTGAGCGTAGCGAACGAACTTCAACCAGGACATGATTGAGCCATGCAAACGAGATCAGATAGTAAAAATAAAAGTAAGCCTACCGTTATAGGATCGACCGGCAGACACAGAGGTAATTTAACCTTTTATTGATTGTCATACCGATCCGGAACAACAAAAAACAACATAAAATGAAGCTATGTATAATAGTTTGGCCAGCATATCTTAAAATATGCAAACCAACTGCTGTTCGTTATATAAGAAGGTTTCAACTGAATATTATAAGATCCCCGTGCGTAGAACGGGTACACAGCTAGTCCTTATATATAATACGTGAAGGCGATTTCTACAAAACACTACTCCTCCGTTAATAATGGACGGATTTTTACAAACGACGTGTCAAAATAAAGTATTTTTTGTGTAGACGCCCCCTTTCACCAATTCCTGTAATAAAAATCCTCGGGCTTTGCCCCACAGTCCATCAAAGTTGGAGTTTCTCCCATAAGATTAACATGGGGGAATCTAAATATTTAATTGGAAACTTTGTCCCCACTAATTTGAGAGAACGGCTGGGGGTAGAAAATTGGTAGAGGTGTCCAAAGAAAGGTCTTGGTCTGTAGATGAGTTATCAAAAGAAAAGCTAAGCAAAATCCCTTAGGACTCTGCCCTAGAAGCCTTTAAAGATCCCTCCACAGAGTTGTTTACATTTTGGCCATGTGAATAATACTTTTTAATGAAACAGCTGTTCATTTTTAAATTGTATTTCAAACAACACATATTTATTGGGAGTTGAATTCTACCAAATAAGTATTTGCAATGTTATTTTCTGATTTTAAAATTGATTTTCTTCTTTATCATGCCATGTTTTGCAATATAACGTTCCATTACCATATCAGTGGAAAATCCTTTTATCACAGCAATTCTTAAATTATTTCTTATTGAACTATCTTATATCTATTGTACGGGTTGGTGTGTGCCTTTTTCGCCACTTTTGCCTACATTTTATCATATTATTCTACAAAATATCAAATATTTATGTAGAAATATCTGCTCTTATTGTGTCTAATAAAATCCAAACTTAGAAGCATTGCCTAAAATGGTCCTATCTTGACAAATTATTTGCACCTGCCTATATTACGGACTTTGGCGCACTGAATTAGTAACATTATTGAAAATAACACAACATTTTGGCTGTAAAATATGGTACAAAGAGAAAATACTATTTAAGCAGCTACTGTCATGACAGAAAGGTCATATTCCTTTTAAACTAGATCACATAATCCTTTGACTGGAACGGGTGGCGCCGTCCTGTAATCCAGCTACTAGGAGTTGACGAATTGTGGATATTTATAGGAATGCACTGTGGATGCGATACTCCCTGGTGTGGATTAACGTCCGCACGAGTGAGTACTACGACTACCCGCAGTGCTATCCTGATAATTATACCAATTCATAAATACCAATGCAAAAAAAATTTGGTTCCAATTCAACTATAAACTGTTGGTCCCTTGGTTGCCATTCGCTGTATGGGCTATTAATTAACAGCTGTATCTAAGGAATGTCGGCCTTATTCACTAACAAGACTTCAAGATCGTGCCACTCATCCTACACTCATCTCCATTCATACTTGGCTTACCTACTATGAATGGTCGCCATAAAAAAAACGTATTAAAGGATTGAAGTATTTATTCTATACGTTGATTAACAATATGTAAACGTCAATATCTACGTAACAGCCATTTTACAGTTTTTTGCTTTTTGGAAATGTTTCATTGCTATGTCATTTGCATTATTTATTGCCAATGAAGCCGCCAAGATCATATGAACTAGGAGGCCCCTAACAGTTCAAGAATTAAAGCCAACTTTACTTCATGTATTCCACTACACCTAACATTCCGTAGAGAGATTATATTGACAACTTTATGTTATTGATAAGGCCGAGACAACTAACTGACATCCCCCATGTCAAGGAATTCCAGCTTTATCAGTAACCCCATAGTCAATTTCTCAAAACTATGCTAGAGGGTTCATTCATTGGCACAGAAGTACGATATGAACTGACGCGACGTGACGAAGGAAAATCAAACTTACACTGTAACGGATATACCTCCCTTTGAAGTTAGAACGTGTCTTCTCAACAAACATATATTTTTTCTCAAACGAGAAGTTTGAAGTCGCGGAAGTGTTTAACTACAAGATCCACCAATACGATTTAAATACTATTTAAAGGTTCTACCAAAGGAAGAGATACCATATAACACACTAATAATAACTCCGATGACGTACAGGATAGGAAATATTTTAATCATTGAATGAACCACCAAATTTGGCAACTAACGCAATATTGTTATTTTTACACTTATTACTCTTTGAACAATGTTAAATGCTCAAAATATGTATATTTCACCCAATTCATCGCAGTTAGATGAATTAACAAGAGGTATTAATGAAAGTAACCGTCGATTTCGACGGGTTTCCCATAGTTCACTAAGAAAAGAATATTACAACTCTAAAAGTTGTTGCGTTATTGCCTGTCTGTATAGTGTATAGCCTTCATCTCTGGCAACGCAATGCCCGCCTGCATCTTAGACCTTCCGGGACTCGAATCTTAGACCTTCCGGGACTTAGACCTTCAGAAACTCTCATTTTATAAATATTTATTTACAAAATTTACATTGTGTGTCCCCACAAGGTCTAAAACAGTATCAGTGGATGAGTTTTTTTCGCATTGACTATACTCTTAGCATACATATATATTTCCTATAATCAATGACAAAATCATAGAGTAAAAAATTAACTTCACAGTTGTAAAGAATATTTTTATATTTAACCAGCTGTTAGTTATAAAACCTGTTAATGTTAAAATAAAGATTGCTTTAAAAAATAATTTGAACATCTAGTATTTGACTATTTATATTTTAATATGCAAATTACCTGACATCCTGCTCTTACCAAAGAATTGAACATATGAATGATTATAGCATTACACATAGTATAAATAATTTAACCCTGCATATTATGTCTTTTCATCTTTATCCAAATGCTGAATTTTTGTCAAAAATGATGTATGTTTACAGCTGTTATGTTAAGTAAATTTTGTTATACCAAAAGCTACTAGCTAGCTCAGAAAGTTAGCGTCGGCTGCTAGACTTTTTAAATTTTAAAACTTAATTTCTATACAACTGGAACCCTAAACTAAAATGATGGCTTTAACCATAGACTAACCAACACAAGTAGACTTCTCATCCCATTGTAAATTTTGAAGCTCGTTTTTCGTGTCTAGTTCATGTACGCCACACTGGGCGCTAGTGTCGACGAAATTTTGTTTATATTATTTTAGGGTTAATTTCTTGATTTGTGCTTTACTGTTTGGTTAAATAACTAGGGGAGAATTTATTGTTTATGATTAGATCGTATTATTTGGTTAAACGAGGTTTTAAATTACTGTATTAACGGGAAACAAATTGTAAACAAAACACGACCTCTAACATAAACTGTACAGAACTAACAATAAAATTGTCTTCAGCTGTTCCATTAGGATGAGAAATCTACTAAGGGAGTATGTTTTATCTATGCTTTAACATTCCCTAGTTCTCCAAATTATCTTTCTTTGAACACAAAAATCCGTCAAGTGGTTTATTCATAATCGTGAAAAAACCCTGTCACGGTTTAACACACGTTTTATGTTGTCACGTTTTATGATATCATTAAACTAGATTTTATAATTTAAAAGTGCCTATAAAATATTGTTTGATTTTGAGCAACAGGTTACTTAGTTTTTTATTTAAAAGTGTTCTGGCGTGTTCTATTGGTGGTTTACCAGTCATTGTGTAAATCCATTATAAGTTATAGTTGAAAGCATGGGGCTATGCGACTTGTCTGAGGAAAATTTAGCATCTGCATGAGCAAGGTGCTTTAAATTGTTTGATGGACAGTGAAAGACTCATAAAACTGCATGCTACTGACTACAATTAATTATTACAACTGTATAATATAAGTAACAATATTTTGAGTGCAGACAAAAATAATGGTATATATGGTATATGCACTTTTGTAAACTACAGGGTGGCCGAAAAGTCTCTTTACACAATATTGCAGTATGTATTACACGGTTATTATAAACAAGACTGATCAGCAAATATTAATATATAGACATATTAATACATATGTATAATATTAATACATAGACTAAGTGCCCGTGCCTGGATCCTTCACAGCAAAGCAAGGAGTGAGCGGGTACAGTACAAAGGTGAACTGTACTGATAAATTTTAGTGGCAGCAACTAGGATCCGAACCCACGACATCGCTGCCTTGGGCCCGAAATCGGCGACGCTACCGATTGAGCCACCGACTCACAAACAAAAGGGGGGGAGAGAACGAAGCCTCACTCTCCCTTCCCAACCACCGCCATAGCCCCACGACGCGGAGACACCCAGTAGAGAGTAAGGGCGGCGTTTGCACGAGTCACCCCAGAAATGTTGAAACGAATGAGCCAACGAACTTGGCGTTTAGTCAAGCTTTGCCGAGACAACGGAGGTATGCATGCGGATGTTTTGGACTAAAAATTATGTTCACTTGGTGCAGTCTACAAAAAATTTCTGATTAAAATAGATTTTTATGGTTTTAATCAACACCAATTGAATTTACCTTAAGTGTAAAGGGACTTTTCAGCCACCCTTTATGTATTATAAATTATTGTACTAAATAAATTGTTCAAGGGGTTTTTTTCAGTTTGTTAAATTGTAATACAGTAGATATTTTACATGTAGGCCTAGCCAATTGTCTCAATCATACAGCAAGTCTATTTAAAAGTCCTGTTGATTGACGGCCATCTACCTAGTCTTCCATACTTTTTCTCGAAAAATTCAAGATTGATCTTCTAGATGCAGTGTAGTCCCAACGGATAAGGAAGATTAGAGTTTTGCTTTTGTAAAATAGGAAAGAACTAATTATTTTTAATGAACTTTTTATTAGGTACACATTTTAAACATAGATAACAGCTACAACTTGCAAGGCAGCAGCATGCAACAAAGGAGGCATACACCATTATCATTTGTTAAAATTGTGAAAAATTGGAACAGTACCTATACTAAATTAATATTTTATTTACAATAATACTATGAACAGATCAGTTTTCAAAAATCATCTTTGTTTAAGACAGGTTAAAGGTTAAATCTGGTTGCCTGATTCGATTTTCCTTGTTTTTGTTCTTGACATGGTCCTTAAGCAGATCCATAACTTTGTTGTTGAACTCTAGAGGTGTTGGTTTGACGCCTGTAGCCCAGTAGTAGATGTCCCAATCATTGGTAGGCAAGTTAATAAGTCTGTCGTACTGATCGATAAGTTCACCTTCCATAGAGTCTAGATGTTTTGCTGCAAATGTACTCAAAACCAAGCCGTTCTCTAGCATCCCCCTCTTCCTTGATTGGTACAAGAGTCTGTAAATAAACAATAAGATGTGAATGTTTATACAGTGGAAGTACTTCAATTCAGTTTAAGTTTGCTTGTGAGTTTATTTCAAAAATAAAAAGAGGTTTCTGTAAGTAGGTTACATAAGCTATTTTTCAATTATTTGATGTAACTGTTTGTAGTCACAAAAATAATTTAAATTATTGATATTTTAGCAAAATCATGAATATGATAGACAAAACGCAAATGTAGTCAGTGAGTATCAAAAAGCTAAACAATTATGGATAGTGTGAATGGATGTTTGTCTACTCATCATTCGACGAACGGCATTGCTCGTTATTTCCCTCTTCATTTTGAAGAATATTCACAATTCCGGCAATGAACAGAACGCTTGGAAAGAGTCAAATGTATTAACAATTTAGAACCTATAGGCCTAGTTAAAACACAAATTTTAACTTATAAACTCATCGGTTTTAATCGGTGACTCATTGGAGGCCGGTTAAGTAAACAACAACCCTTAATTTGCCTGCAAGATTATGAATGGGCCTCCTAGTCATCTTGGCCGTTTTTTTTGTTTTGATTCTTTCGTGTTTTTCGTTAGTCCATTTAGATTTTTTTGCATTCGTTAACCCACTTCAGGATAATCAGGAGTCTACTATTAGGGATCCCAGACGTCCTCTTTTTCCCGGACACGTCCTCTTTTTGGGTACAAAGAAAACGTCCGGGCGGATTTTTGGCAATACTTTCAAATGTCCGGGATTTTGACTTTGTGAGAAAATAAAAAAATATTTCTGCAAGTATTAATATTAGCAATCAGCTTTTATAATTAATCGTGATCATAACATTAAACTAAGTTAAAATACTACACTTTAATAATATCTTACGTATAAAAGTGTCATTTCCTCTTTCTTTAGGTCAAATTTTGTGTATAACGTACGCTAGAATCCATTGGAAATACTGTAGAACAAAACAGAACGGAAGGCAAAACTGAATAACTCTGCTCACTAGTAGCCAGTTTGCCAGGCCAGTAGCATACTAGCGACCGTCGGCCGTCGACCAGTGACTAGCTCTTCGTCTGCTTACTTGCTTACTTTACGTTACATGTTACATGCCTACTTAAAAAATAATTATCTTACTTTTTAATTTGTCCGTGTTGATTGTCCCTAGGGCCTACCCTAATGCCGAAAAGAAAATGTGTATTTTCAGAAAAGTTGAAAGAAAAGTTTACTTGTTTTAAGCGTGGTCGACATGAACTGTTGCTTGCTGGGCAGGTATAATGCAGTCGTGTTGGGTGCTAGTTCTTAAACACTTCTTAGATAAAATAAGTTCTCTGGTTCAAAATCATGGTCTGATTTTGGACAATTTCTGTTTAGCATGCACATTGGCACCAGGGTGTTTTTGTAAATCAAACATGCTTGAATGTGTTGTAATGTTGCGGTATTCCTTTGATATTAAAATCACAAGTCTCTAAAAAAAACAAAAAAAAAACATGACATTATACGAGTACAAGTTTATTTTTTAACATTTCTTGACCTTTAAAAAATAAACTGGGAAGCTTGAACACATTAAACTAGGTCCTCAAAATAGCTTAAAAAGTACTAATTTTAGCACGTTATTTCCAAATTTTCCCCCGGACCCCCCTTCTTTGCTGGGGGGTATTCCATACCCCCCAGACCCCCGGTGACCCCCCCCCTTAAATATATGTCTAGGACCACCCTTGGTGAGTAATTTTGTCCTCTTTTTTGATGGAGGGTCCCTGGGAACCCTATCTACTATGGCTCGCTACTATCAAATATTCGGCGCTCAGAGAATTCCGCATGTGCAGACTCACCTTAAGAAACAGCTGTAGGCCTATTTAGTCAGTAACAAAGGTAAGCTTACCTTTAAGGTAAGGATTACCTTGCTCTTTTGAGTTTGAGAGGCTCGTCGTACTTCTCCTGGTAGGCTGGTATCGGAGGCTCACTGCTTGGTGGATCGACCATTTCTGAGTTGCAAACACGTTTAGTTGTGCTCAGGTAAGCTTGCAAACCTGGCATTTTCTGAAATAATTCAAATTCAAATTCTTTATTCACTCATAACATCTTACAAAGTACAACGTACAAGGATAGGGGTGTCGTCATAATGAAATGTAAAAAAATACTATAACTAATAAATTCACACAACTCAAAATTATTACTACTGACATCAAGTAAAAGTTACCATTACAAAAAACAACAAATAAGATAAAATCCTGTTAAAATTAATGAAAGCCATCAGGTATGTATTCAACGTGAATTTAGTTTACAAAATTAAATTAATTCTTGTCCCTTTAGAAAACATCAGAATAGAAATCTTCTATTTTATAATATGCCTTTTCAATTGATAACTCGTTTAATTTTTCTAGGAGTATGTTTTTTGGATTGTTGGTGATTCTTTTTGGTAGATTAATACTTTGTATGAATCTGTGGGGATTAATAGGCTGCTATTTAATGAATTTGAAGAGTTTTCCACTTTAAATTGCATATTTTTTTGTTTTTGATTTATTTAACAGTAGTCCATTTTGAGAGAACCATTCCTCTAGTTCTTTTATTGATTTCTGAACAATGATTTCCAATTGATGTATTTTTGGGGCTCTTAATATAACATTTGTGTCATCTGCATACAAGAAGAATTTATAAATATTAAGAATAGTGTTGGCCCCAGGAGGGAACCTTGAGGAACACCGTACTTGATATTATTCCATCCGGACAAGAACTTGTGGCCATCTTTATAAACTACTGTGCGTTGCTTTCTATTTGATAGGTAGTTTGAGAGAAGTTGCAGTAGGTACCTGACCAACAATCACTACTTTCTTCAGTTTGCAAATAATTAGTTTGTGGTCAACACAGTCGAATGCCCTGGATAAGTCACAGAACACCCCAGCAGTAGGCCTGTAGTTCTCTGCCCCTCATCCAGCGCCTCAGAGACCATGTTGACAAATTTAGTCAAATTTGTTCATTCATTGCCTTTGTGGTTGATTTATTTTTCCTGAATCCAAATTGTGATTGTGAATATAGATTGTTCTGTTCTAAGTAATTTGTCAAGCGGAAATTAATTGCTTTTTCAAAGATTTTTGCAAAAATTTGGTGTAAAGTTTGACAAAAATCAGTGGTCTGTAATTATTAATACTGTATCTATTCTTTTTCCTTTCTTAAAAATTGGTTTTACTTCTAAAAGTTTAAGTTTATCTGGAAATTGACCTGACAAAAAACATTGGTTTTGATTTTGACTGGGGCTATTACGTTATAAATATTAACTTTAACTTAGAGCTTTAACTATAACTTAATAAATTTATTTATTAAGTTATATTAATAAATTATAATGATTTCATTATAGATATAGATATGGGTCGTAACTAAATGTAAATAATCATTTTTCTTGCTCTTGATAAGCAAAATATTACATAATGACTGTGTTTATGTTTAAGTTGCAAGATATGTCATGTATATGCCTAACTATTGATTTTCAATGCAGTGATTTTAAACATTGATACCGGTATCAGATTTGGTGAGGTACACAGGTTCTACTGTGTTCAGGTATTTGGAATTTTTTAAGATTTTTAAGCAATAGGCCTAGTTTAAACCCGGTGGGGCACACGGAAGGGACTATGGCTAACATGTCTTGTAGTGTCAGCGTTCGCCACTAGAACCGCTAAGTTGAAAACATTTTAAATTAATTTTTTTTTTATTTTTAGTTATAAAATTAACTTTTTAATCATAAGATAAATTTTAAAATTTAGTATTGTAAAATTGAACTGTCATAACCTAACCTAACCAATCAAACTTGCTGATAATATAAAAAGATAAAATCGAATAAAGATTTACTGTTTAAAAAAAATGCTGTTCATAAATAAAATTATAAATGCATCAAATTCTAACAAAAGATGTACAGTTAAGAAGTATTCGCATTATAAGCAAAATCTTTGACAAAAAGTTAATGTCCCTGGCTGGTTTCGAACCGGAGACCTCAAGAACACCAGGCCGATATGCTATCAACTATGCCACGAATGCCGCTGGAAACACATTGTCTCGTTACGGTAGATCGTGTTGCCTCAAGAGAAGACATTAGCCACTAGAGATATGACGTCACCAAACCTTTTAGCCATAGTCCCTCCCATGTGCCCATCCGGTCCAAACCCTACTCTTCCTTAACAACATTTTCTTACCACAATTTTCATGTTTTTCACAGTTACATCATGGTTTTTAACTAAAAAAGTTGAGCATGTTATATAGATATATATGTATGCTGTATAGTTTTTTGAAGGTCATTCTTTGTGTTTTTCATTTAGATTTTATTCAACACCGTAGTAAAAAAATTATAGGTGCGGGGGGGCCCGCGAGCTAGGGGGGCCTGTAAGCCTTGACCGGGATTTTTCGTGAAATTTTACCGTGACACGGGCCTGCGATTGTGCGACAGGCTCAGCCACACGGGCCCCCTATCGTAAAAGTATTTATATGAGAATTACCATACTTTTTTATGACAAAAATTTGTTAAACCCAGTAAGAGCACTAGGACAAGTAGTTTACAAAAGCTAGATTGACACTATTACTAGACCAATTGATATAAATTCTCTACCAACTTAAGTAAAACAATTGTCATCAGTCATGCAGGTTGCATCAACTGTGTGAAGGCGCTATAATAGGGCCGTATTTAGAACCAATGTGGCCCCCGGCCTAGGAGATCCTCCTAGGCCCCGGCAGGTCACACCAGAGCCCTCTATGCTGATTCAACTGAATGAACATAACAATTTTTTTACGGCCAAATCGGCGAATTAACCTAGGTGGCTAGGGCTAATAAATCATTCCATTCTTTCATTGACGCTAAAGGAGGATTTTAATTTAATTTCTTACTATTAGGAGGCTGCACTTTAGATTTGTTTACTTCGCACTTTAGATTTGTTTACTTCGAGTCAGGTAAAAAGTGTTACTTACCTATAGGCCTCGAGCCCAATCGGATCAGTTCAAATCGGTTTGCTTTGGAAACTGTTGATTTGCAAGTTTAGGCGGTAATACATATGATAATGTTTTTAAAATTATTGGTAGAGGTGGGCCCGACAAACAAACTTGCGGGGGGGGCCCGCGGGCTCTTATCGCTGCCACTGGTTATGAATAGCCAAGCCACATCAGAAAGTAAGAAGATAATAAGTTAACTTATTGAGATCAAGGAAGCTAAAGTTTGGCAAAACTTTGATATCCGACTCCATCATAACTTACTTATTGATTGAAAGTAGACAATAGACAATGTAAGATAGAATTGATAAAGAAGTTTGGTTATCGGTTAGGCAAAGTTTTGTTATCGATCGAATAAGTTAGGTCTGTAAGTTTGTTGGGATATATTATTATGTTCAATAATACGTTGGAGTTAAATATCATCGAAAGTTTAAGTTTCATCGAAAGTTTAAATGGAAAATTAAACATTCCCAAAGTTAGATGGATTCGTCTTTTTAAAAGGAGAGGAACATTATTAAGGATGCCTTCACAGACTTAATGCTTAAGGGTTAATTTTAGCTGCCTAAATCTGCCTGCACACAAGTGTCTTAGTTTTCTTGATATATAGGGATGTGCTGCCCCAGTATTTACTACGTCTATGCCTAAAACGTAATCAAAATGCAGAATGTTGTATAACTAGTAGGAGTGTTATGTAACATGACTTGTAAGTAAACAAATGGATACTTACTAATGTATTTGGCATATACCAAGCCATGGTAGACCGAAGAAACATCCTGGAACACATGACTGCTTTACCTGCTGGTGACATGCTGCTTTACCAGTAAAATTATATTATATTAAGATTCTTCAATCAATCAATTTGAGGAAATCTATAATAGTATAGGATCAAGCAAGTTATGATAGCCTAACCTGGATGCGTAGGTAGAACCATTAGAACGAAACAACGAACGGAACGATTGACATTTGACATTGACTATTTTGTCGTCTGCAGTATGCAGTGCAGTCGACTGCGACTCTAGCACAGACTAATAAGAGTACTTCTTATTCCCTTGTCTGTGACTTCCTATAGTAACATTTAATTAATATACACCGTGTCCCAAAAAAAAACTGAACAATTTTAAATTGTTATATAATACGTACAGGCATATTAGTCTACTTTGAAGGTGATCATGTGATAACTGAGCTCATGAAGTTTTGTTCAATATCAATTGTAACTATCAGCTGATTCATTGTTGTCGCTTGAAACTTGAAATTTAAAAACATTGCCCTGTCATTAAGCAGGCATCATGAACGCACGAGAGCGCATGAAAGCGCAATGCGTTGAGTGGTACATTCAAAGTAAGTCAGATATTGCAGTGCAAAGAACATTTAGAAGACGCTATGGTCGACGTCCTCCATCACGGAACAGCATTTACAACATTTAAAAGGTAAAGGTAGGCCGAAAATCCAAAATGAATTGATTGAAAACGTGCAACAATTATTTCTTCACGACCCTCGAAAGTCCGTTTGCTGTGCAGCATGTGAGTTAAATTTGTCAAAATTATAAGTTTATAAGACAGAAGTTTCCGATGTCCGAAAATTGAGGCAAAGAATAAATGCAGCCTTTACTAACATTACTGACGAAATGCGCCATAGAATGTGGACTGAATTAGACAGCCGTATTGACTATCTTTTTGCCAACAATGGCAACCTTTTTGAAAATCATTAACACATATGATATCAAACAAAACTTAGGAATATTTGTGTGTCAGTTAAAATGTAATTAGTTTATCGTGTGATTGTTAATAAACTTTTTATAAGTAAATAAAATTGTCCAGTTTTTTTGGGGACACGGTGTATGATTAGGACAATTCCGTTTAAGCATGGATAAAGCCATAAAACCACTTTCACTTAAAACATACTCCCTTAGTAGATTTCCGATCCTATTGGAACAGCTGAAGCATAGATAAAACATACCTCCGCGTCTCCTTAATTCCCTATTTAAATAACATTAGTTTAACGAGTACTTAGGTTTGCTGCAACAGGGAGGGTAAAAAGGTGTTTTTTTTATGTTAATAGTTTAATATGAAATGAATGCATTTCCCAAATTTGATCAAAACTGATTGCATTTTTGGATTCGGCGTTAAAAATACTGTAAGTAGACATATCAAAATTACATCATATCCCCATGGTGGATTCCACCATGTCATATCCCAGTGTAAGTACGGTAAATAATTACCACAATGAAAATAAACTACATACTGAATGTAAACTGGCCAGAACTTGTAAAAATAGTAAGTAAGTAGCTGGTATCGAATAATTAAAAAGACACAATGGTCAATGATACTTAAAATAATAAGACTTAACTAGATGACCCGTGCTGCTCCGCAGCATTGAAATTAATAATAAAAAAAATAAAATACTAAACTTAATAAGGGCGGTACAACTTTAATTAAACTCTTATAGGGCTGCTGGATTAATTTCGCCTTATGACCAAAATAAAGTATAACACATTCCATATAACACAGAGAAAATCGTCCCGATGTATTTTTTTCCGTTTTGAAAATCAATTAATCCAGAACAATATCCACACACTTCCTAAAAGCACCTACAGAGAAAGCACGTACATTTGTTAACTCATATGTAACACAGCGTGAATGAGGCTTTATTAAGAATGTTTTATTAACAACAATATTTCTTGTAAAATAGACATCTCTGTCGGTAGAATTGCATGTACGCATATTCTCAGGAGTAGTTCCCTCCATCTGGTAATCTTTATTAATATTACGACTTTTATAATACTTCCTTCCAAACAATGTTTGCTGTTCGTCCACCTTTTGATTTAGTTTCTACTTTTACATTATCGAAAGATTTCCCTCTCGATAAGGCGACGTACAACTGACCGTGACTAAATACTGGTTCAGGCAAGTACACACCAACTCGATCAATCGTTTGGCCCTGCGCCTTGTTGATGGTCATGCAGAACGCAACCTTTATGGGGAATTGTCTTCGTTTGAAAGAAAATGGTACTGTAGAATCTGATGGAGAGAGATCAATGCGGGGTAATAGTGCACGTTGTCCAATATTTGTGCCAGTTATGATTTCTAAGTCTAAACTGTTTTCATACATTTTCTTGACAATAAGTCTTGTTCCGTTTAGAAGACCTGCTGTGTAGTTTAAATTTCTTAATAACATCACAATGGCACCTTCCTTTAAGACTAATTTGTGAGAAAGCAAACCAGTCATCTCAAGGCTGTTGAGGAATTCAATAGGGAATTGCAATAGTTCACTGTCATCATCTGTAATTAGTTTATTCACACTTATATATGTTTTGCTTGAGCCTTGGATGAGGTCTAAAACTCTTTTATTGATTTCCTCACAATGCTCATTCTTTGGTGCTAAAATGGCACATTTTGATAAGTACGATGAGTCCATAGGCGTTTGTAGGTTTTTTCCATAAATTTCTAAAACTATGTCTGAATCAGAGATAAGTGGTGGGGGTAAGTCCACAGATTTGTCATCAATTGTTGGGTATTCCCCATTGCCAATTTCGAGCAAAAAGTTAGCAAAATCTAACTCATTAGTTTTAGCCCTCATATTTTTTGTTAATTTAAAAATTTTGAATAGTGGCCATAGGTATGAAAACTTAATTGAATTCTGAACAGTAGAGGCTCTAGATGAATGAGGCACAACCGGCAACACTTGCCGGAAATCTCCACCTAAGATAATGATTTTCCCACCAAATGGCACATCGTTATCCATTATATCTTTCAGTAGCCGGTTGACACACATTAGAGCATATTTGTTGGCCATAGGTGCTTCATCCCAAATTATTAATTTTGCAGAACGAATGATAGAAGCCTCTTTACTGTTGACTTTTAAGCCGGAGACAGAATGTTCATTCAAATTCAGTGGTAATTTAAATCGGCTATGAACTGTGCGGCCAAAGGGAAGTAACATAGCAACAATCCCAGTCCATGCAACGGATATGATTGGCATTCCAATATTAATGCAGCTCTGGATTAAGTATTTATATACAAATGTTTTTCCGGTGCCACCAGGTCCATCTATGAAGTATGCCTTAATACTTGCAGACTCATCATTGTTTAGAAGCAAGTTTAGAATTTCATCTATCACAACACGTTGTTCTTCATTTGATGAAGCGATCATTTTCGCTAGTTCATCATGTTGGATTCCATCTATAGTTTCCTCTATACATGTATTTTGAGGCAATTCATCAATAGATGGTAAATCAAATGACTTCAGAGAGAAACCATGTAATTTTAACGTTTCTGAAATATCTTTCAGAGCTAATTGGTAAGCTACTTCGGTCGGGTATGATCTAAGGAAATCTTCAGACATTGAGTCCTTAAAGAGATTCCACAAATTCAGAACATTTGATGGACACTGAAATATACAGATGTAGGCAAACAACTGTCGAAGCTGGTATGGCATTTGAAAAGAAGAGGCCTCTTGTAAGGCTCGCTGCCATTCCATATCATCCAATATTAATCCTCGTGCTGTTGCTGCTGCCTTAAATGTAGGATGTGTGAAATTTTCATACGTTTTCAAATCTTCAAAACTGGTAGCACCAATTACATGTAGTAATAATATACGTAAATGATATCGCTCGGAATCCGCAGGTGAAACATTATACATTCGGCCAATCGTTCTAGAATAGTGTTTACGTTTATGCCATTCATTTTTCTTTCATACATAGTGAACTGGTGTTTCGGGATATACATAAGGACTTCTACTTGAAGGATTGCTGTTCAACTTGAACCATGCTACTAATTGGGTAGTTTTTAACTGTGCTTGGATTAAACCTTCCTCCGGGGCATCGTTTCTGAAGTAAACATTGTGAGAATCAGGTAAATGGACTGGCAATCTAACCACAGTGTGAGATTGATCGTGCATGCAATATGCAAACATTCTCCAAGCAGCTTCACTTGGTCCAACATATCGAGCATTCAGGAATAAATTAATTTCATTGTGATCAAGTACATCGTTTTCCCTTGCTACCTCTATATTGCAACAATCGTGACCTTTATATACATACTTATGGATGTACTTTATAGATCGTACACTGGAGCAGATCTCTACATTAATATGTGCACGGAAATATAGAAGAAGAAATGGATTGTATGGTACAATGAACTGATTTGTAACATTTACATCGTCTCCAGTTGCACGTTTAGTTATGGTTCTCCCATTATTTCTACGCTTGTAAATCGGATAGCCATTAACATTATCTTGCGTTTCCTCAATAAAGGATTTAGGGAAATCTTTTTTGCATTTTCCATCCTTCATACATACACAGGAAGGATTTAATATACCACACGGCCCATGCACCATGTGCTTACTAACTAAGTCATACAAATCTTGGTTTATGGGATCGGGAATTTCGGCCGAAACAACTTTGTCAATGTCCTCTGGACCCCTAAACTTACAATCATCATCTAACGTTAGAAGCAAATGAACATGGGGCAATCCACGCTTTTGGAACTCCACTGTATACAAAAATGCTTTTATTGCTCCAAATATCCCAACTGTACACAGTAGACGTATTAGTTCCTGAACCTTAGTATGAAATACCCTTACAACAATGTCTGGTCTGTTATTTGGCGTCTCCCAAGTATGAATACTCCCTGTTATTTCAGGCCATGCCGGATTGCAGGTAAATGTTATGAATAGGTCAGGTTTCCCAAACTTCCTGACTAATGCCATAGCGTCTTGATAATTCTGCATCATATTCCTGGGGCTACCAATAAAGGACGATGGCAAAACTACGATCCGACCTACTCTTAACTTATCCTGTTCAGCCCTTATACGTAAAGCATCGGACAAACCAACATAAGTGTCTACACGTAATTTTGTTTGTTCTCTTCGAATGTTAATAAATACATGGGGAGCAAATTTCGTTTACGTAGAAATCGCGTGGAATTATAGATACATTGATGCCGATGCTTGATGGCACATCTGTACGTGCATACCTTCAATTCGAGACCTCAATCATGAAAATCGGTCGGGTAGAAGAGCCAAACGAACTCGGCAAAGAAACCCCAAATTTAACTCCCATAAGAAATACATGGGGAACAAATTTCGTTTACGTATAATCCGCGTGGGATTATACATTGATGCCGATGCTTGATGGCAAATCTGTGCGTGCAAAACTTCAATTTGAGACCTCAATCATGAAAATCGGTCGGGTAGAAGAGCCAATCGAACTCGGCAAAGATAAACCAAATTTAACTCCCATAAGAATAACATGGGAAGCAAATTTCTTTTACTTATAAGCCGAGTAGGATTATAGATAAATATATCCCGATGCTTGATGGCAAATCTGTGCGTGCATACCTTCAATTTGAGACCTCAATCATGAAAATCGGTCGGGTAGAAGAGCCAATCGAACTCGGCAAAGATAAACCAAATTTAACTCCCATAATAATAACATGGGGAGCAAATTTCTTTTACCTATAAGCGGAGTAGGATTATAGATAAATATATGCCGATGCTTGATGGCAAATCTGAGCGTGCATACCTTCAATTTGAGACCTCAATCATGAAAATTGGTCGGGTAGAAGAGCCAAACGAACTCGGAAAAGAAAAACCAAATTTTTTTAATATATAAGATATGTTACTATTGACTTCAGATACTATTGCATAGTACATAGGCACAGTATACTATTAGCTATATATATTTTAGTATTGATTATAAAAAATTTCAGAATGAAATAAAAAGAAGGTCTATGGAATATTTTGTATTCAACCCTCATAATTTCAAATTTAACGTCCTAGAGAATTGGACTTCTATATTTTGTACAGTACTGTATTTTTAATCCATGTTATTCCATGGAGGAAACACCACTTACTGACACCGGATGTTAGGTTTGCATCATCCTCTTGTTTGTAGCGTAATGGTGGAAAGTAAAGCCTGCGCTAGCGTAGAATTTTGTGTAGTTAGCCTACCGTTTAGCTTTCATTTCGAGAGGGAAGTTAAACATTTTCGTGTTCGTTTGACGTTTACTTTGTTTTGAAATTGTTTGTGATAGTTTTAGCCTAGTATAGTTTAATTAAACTCATTAAGTTGATCAAGGTGAGCTAGAAAGTAAATAATTCGTGTAAAGCATGGAAGAAGTCGACCTAACCGACCTGAGCCGCAAGGGAAAATTTGCAAGATGCATAATTTGTAGTGACTATTCTCTCAGATCTAGATGTCACAATATATTTGAAACAACATTAACCAATGGGGATATTTTACTCTCAGAGTTTCTGAAGAATGTTTTAGATTGCTCAGTATTTATAGTAGTATCTCCTGAATTCTTTATCTGTGATAGGTGAGTGTTAAGTTAGATCACAACTTTAGGCTAGAGGCTAACTGAAAATACAATAATTGTAGTAACTTAGTTGGCCTAGGCTGTATTAGAGTCGGTTATCCCGAAGATTATAGTCGATCATTGGTTATCCGACCTTCCTGCTTACGAGTGAGGGCTGTAAAAACTCTAGCCTAACTGTAAGTTTAGGCCTGCTTCTTGTCAAGTGCCCTCCAGATAAGGTGCCCCTTTTGTCGATCATTCAAGATGCAAGAGAGGTACTTATGGCCATTACTGTAGCCTACTTGAGTTGTAGAAAGCTCTAGGCTTTGAACATAAGTTAGCTACTAACTTAGCACATTCTTTTCCAATAGACATTACAAATGCATGTGGAATGGTCAATGAAGGTATTATGTTGGTAAACATTTTTCAAGGAAGAGTACAATAGATGTAGAGTACAAGGTCAAATCAAAAGATACAAAGAGAATATAAAATGATTATTGTATGGTAGGCTAGTTAATTGTTCCATAAGCTACGCCCAACGATTATGACTTAATTTAAATTTTGATAGGCTACCGGTACACATACATTAGGCTATTTGTGAAAACTTACAGTTTTTTGCACGCTGAATCCAAAAATGCAATAACATCGTCAAAAAGATTCTTAACCCTCCGAGGGTTATGTGTCGTAAAATTGACACATAACACACTTTGTGTAGTGTTTTGTGTCGATTTTTCGACTCACAAACACTGTTTACAGCGAAGGCTCTATGACTGACAAAATCAGATTGAACTGGATCGAGTTAGGTACCGTATCGTTTTATTTGGCAGATTCTAAGCTTTCTCCCGAGGTCTGTCTCTAAGCGCTTTTTTTTCTCGAGCCGATCATAATTGTAGCAGACAGCTGACGTGCGTATTTGTAAACAGCTTGGTTAACCTCGCACCGATGACTGATGTGTTTTATTACGTTTATCATTGTTTTAGTGTTAAAAATCAAAAGTAGTGATATACATGGTGCATTATAAGAAGATTTAAGTGATTTTGAAGGGCTGGTTGATGATCCTGAAGAAGTAGGTAGTGATATTGATGTAAATTATCAGCCAGATTCCTAGCTATGGTTAGGCTATGCATTCTTAGCTAAACGCTATGTACCGAAATCTGTTTTTTGCCCATAACTTAGCCTATTTATTTGCAAATCTACTTCCTTATATTATTATATTTTTGGAATCCTCATAAAATTCTGAACAAAGTGGCTATTTAAAATATTTGTAGACCTAGGGCCTATAAATTATAACAATTTATTGAGCGCAAACATAAATTTTTTTCATTTATTTTATAATTTTTGAGAAATGTTAACCCCACAAAAATTGTTGGACATTTTTTTTGTAATGTTTTATATGTTACATTAAAGCCCATAATTTTCCAAACAAAATGATATATAAAACAGTATACTTATACATTGTTTTTAAGTTTCTAAGATACATTTTAATAAAACCCTGCGATTGCGCAATAAATGGGCGAACATTAAGACCAAAACTAGAGACACTTGGAGGGTTAAGTGACTGTAAAATTAGGCCTAGAAAGGCTAACAAATAACAAATTGAAGGGTTAACTTAGACTTCCGTGTCTGTTGTCAAAAACAACCGTAGCCTATGACAATATCGGTACTTTCTTGTTTAAAGGGGAACATTCATTATTGTCAATGATTTTTTTTTATGTCTCGATTTTTGATATGTATTAGTCCCGTTAATTCATTAGGTACCACTACTTTTTTTGCGATTCTGTTTATTCCCTCCCAGAATGTTTTTGTACCGTTACCAATTGTTAAAGGAAAAGTGAAAAATGCTTTATAGTTGGGACAATCCATTTTAGCTAAGTTTATTCTTAGCTAGGCTATTAAGTTAGGCCTATTATGTAAAAACAACAAGATGTTCTGTAATCTGAACTAGCCTATTCAATAGTCCAAACTACCCCCAGTCCCAATTAGTTTTGAATAGAGGTTCTACTGTAATAGCCGTAGTCTGAAGATGAATAAGTTAGGCTTATAAAATCTCGTACCGGTATATAGGCTAATAAGATAATTTTTGTCAAACTGCAGCAAAAACAGCCGTTTTTAATGAATGCATTGCGGGCCTAAAGTAGCATTTTTACTCTCTAGGGAATAAAAATCAGCTGTTGTAAACAGTTGTAAATTTTGATTGTGGCAATTGTATCGATCAAAATTGATTGATTTATTAGGTAAGATTTTAGCATATTGTTGTCTATGGCTCAACATATCGATGATAAAATGTAGGGCCTACTGTAACACAACCGTAATAAACAAAATGATTGAATCACTTACTAAACAGCTGCTTATTTGTATTAGCAGAATTGACAAGTTGAAAGTCGTTTTGAGAGGTTATACTTGTTTTGTTTTTTAGCTTTGTTTGTTACCAGTAATTAATTGATGATGCAATATGGCAAAAGATTTAGTTTACCACACGGGCTAAAAGTGTCTTTTTAACCCTCGCTCATTTTCCGTCGACCTCAGGTCAAAAAGAGTCACTTTATGCCTTAGTGATGAAATATAGGCCTGCTATTAACTTATTTTCCTGAAAATGAAAAATGGTTTTCTCCATTTTTGTCAACTTTCTACCATCAAATAGCTAATGAAGTGACGATTTGAAATGTTTTGCAGATGTTACATTCTCTGTCATAACCTGGATTGTAGCTTCGCTCGGTGTAACATCTTACAAGACAAGATTCGCACATTATTTTTAAACACTGAAACAAGGCTGAAAAGACTTCGGGAAGGTAAACCGGTCATCGAAGATTTGGATAGTCTTGAGCCTGATCCCCAGATCAAGAAAGAATTAGAGGTGAGTTTATATTGTTTCATAAATTTGTTTTGCGGATTTTGTTTCTCCTACTATTATTTTCTACAAATGTGTCTTCACCAACTGTTCTTAATAATTGGGTTTGTAATAAATGGTAAACGGTAAATGGTAAAGTTTGTAAATAAAGGATTAAACAACCCTTTAATATACAAAACTTTTTGTAAACTTGAATTCTACATCTTTGCCAGATCTAGACCAATAGATTGTGTCATTATGTATATAGTATATAGTTTTATTATTTATTGATACCGATTGTTGATTAGGACAATATTTACAGAAACTATACTTTCATAAAACTTGGCCTTTGACAGATGACATGGTGGACATTCACTTATCTCACTCATCCTCAAGCTCTTCTAAGGAGTCCAGTGGCCTATTAAATAGCATTCCTTTCAGTGCCTTCTTGAAGGAGGGTGAATCCAAGTGGGCAGAGTATTATAAATTTTAACAGCTGAATGAGGATAACTATCCGAGGTACGACTTAGTCGGCAGAGGCGAAAGTCAATATTTTGGGCCTTCCTGGTATAGTACTCATGCACCTCCTCTCTCCTAGTGTGAGCCCTTAAATTATCCTTTAATAGGGTCAGGATGTTAAGCACGTACTGACTGTAAACTGTGAGTCCCCCAAGATCCTTTAAGATTGCCCGGCAATGATCCAAATACCCAGCAGATATAATAATCCCCAAGGCCATCTTTTGTAAAAGCAGCACGTCTTCAGCTGCTGAGGAGTGCCACACAGTACCAGCGCATAGTTCACATGGCTATGAAATAAGGCATATTGCAAGGACAGTAAAGATGATTTCAGAATTTCAGGTTTAAGTTTTCTTAGAAGATGGAGAACATACCTACTTTACACATACCTGCGAGATTTATTTTCTCCAACTTAGGTTTACTTAGGTATCTGCTGTGAATCCCAGAAGCTTTACCGCGACCTCCTCCTTTAATCTCTGTTTCGGTGTACAGACCAGGGACTGGGTTTTGTCATCATTAATTTTAAGGCGGGTGCAACAAACCAATCCTTGGTTGGCTCTTTATATATTTTTTAAGGTCTACAATATGGTTTGGAAAGATATTGAGATATTTTATGATTTAGGTGCAAAAAATGGAAAGCCCGTTTTTCACCCCGTAAACCCCTTCAAAGTTCCACAAAGTCCGATCATGCTGGTTCATGAACTTGTTGAAATAAACGTAGGTTTACACCATATGTAGGCCTACCGAATTTCATTAAAATTGGAATATAGTAACTGACATTATACCCATATCTAAATCTAAAAATCTTATATATTTTTCGGAAATAAGTAAGGATTAAGTGTTTGTTGAAAAATTCAATTCCCCATAAAAATTGAATGTTTTTTGTTTGTTTATAAAACTACTCATTCACATTGAATATACACCTTGAATTTTCAAGTAAGCAGACACTAAAAATGGGAATTTAACTTCGCCAACCCAACAAAGTAACGGTCGAGTTAGCAGGTTAGCCTACATCTTCAACTTTACATCCATACTTAATATAAGAGTTTGAATATATAGCCAAAAATACTGGATCAGTCATTTTGTGACCGATGGCACTATAGAAAGGACCTTGATCGGCTATAAAATGACAGATCAACAGTCTAGGGTTGATAAGAAATTAAATTAATTATGGTACCTATTATACAAAAATTTTATAGAATACAGTTAGTAGTAGTTTTAATCATGTGGAACGCTGAACTGGATTGTTACTATGTTATTGGCAAGTGGCGACGAATCATGGTACAAAACACAGAACTCGTACATAACATGAGCTGTCTCAAGTTCAATGATCACTTTAATCTATAATTTGAATGGTCTTTTGATGGTCTGTGTCCATCCAGCAGCCTGTTAAAGCCGGACTACTATAATTCAAGAAGTGTATGCAAAATGTCCATTTTACAGCTAATTAAATGTTGACAATATTTTTTTTTACTACAGGAGGATTTGTACGTCAGGGATGTAGGTGTTGATCTTCGAGATGAAGAATATTATGAAGGTACAGTAGCATGAGAACACTTATTTGATGATTTAAAATTCATGGAGATTCTTTGTTTCACCTCATTGCATTACAAGAGATTAGTATTTTAATTGGTTGTGATTTTATTCTTGTGAACTCTTTAAGAAAAGGTGTTACAAGTCTAGCTTTACATGAGTTTGATTCCAGCAGGTGTGCAATCCACATTTTGTAGACTTTTCCTGACAGAAAAACCTGATTTTCGGTACAGTAGTGATTTCCAGTCATCAAGTGTATTTTTCTACCATGGGTCTACCGGTATTCCGTAGACTTTTAAGACTGATTAATTTCATTCTAAAGTGTAGTCTCTCCTAGAGGTGGGTGTTGTTTAATTTAATAGGATTGAAAAACTATATTACTAAATGTCCCCTATTACACTGGTAATTTATTATTGAGCTATCGCAAGAAGTGTAAGAACAAGTGAGTAAAATAACGCTGATAACATTACCAATTAACATTGACCTGGCTTAAATACAGTACGGCACAGCAAAACGTCTTCTCCGCGACTTGCCATGCCTGATGGAGGGAGAGCTGCATACAGCACGGCACGGCAAGACGTACACAACAGAGAAGTACGCCACTGCTTTCGGCAGGTGCTGTCACTGCACTTCACGTTGTGTCAATCCTCGCGCATGCGCTCATCGTTTTGCCCCAAGCCTGAAAGACGAAAATTGACAAGGCAGTACAAAGCGCCGTGCGGCGCTGCTTTACCTTGCATTGCTGTGCCCGATAATGTGTACGGCACCTCCATTTGAAATATTAGAAACCTAGTCGCATAAGGCGCCTTAAGACAAAACGTCGTGCCGTGCCGCATCTGGTGTGCGCCCGGCCCTACGACTATCCGCAGTACTATCCTGGTAATTAGACCAATTCGTTAATTACAAGGAAAAAATGTGGTTCGGATTCCACTATAAACTGTAGGTCCCTATTTGTTGTCATTGGCTGTATGGGCTATAAATTAACAGCTGTGTCTAAGGTACATGTCGGCCTTAGTCATTAACAAGACTACAAGATTGCACCACTCATCCTACACTCATCTTCATTCATACTTGGCTTTAAATACCTATATTCGTATGGTCGCCATTTCTTAATAAAGTATTGAAGTATTATTTTTCCTTTAATTGAAAAGTCAAGGATCGTCCCTGATTATTAATACAGAGTAATGGTACTGCATTTCCCATCTCTAGTCTCTTTGAACAGGTGGCAGCACCATGGATTGAGAAAAATTTGACGGCTTGGAAAGTTGAATGGGCTGGGTGAATTCCTTGTTTTGATGTATTTTCAATTGAAAGATGGTTATGTTTTATAACATTTTAATATATCCTATATTTTATTGTTCTGGTTCCTATTGTAAGCTTTTTAGTTGTTTTCAGATGAACCGTTGGTGGCAGAAGAAGTGGAAGATGTACCTCAAATGGATCCAGATTTCTTTGTCAACACTGAAATAGTGGAAAGTGAAGTTGTTGTCGGAGACTCTGAATACATACCAGAGGTAGGCTTGATGCAATTAGTGTATGTTTGTATCTAAATTTGTCCATAGGTTTGTAATGACAATGCATTATGTCAATGGTATATACTGTTAAACCCATGATCACTAATGCTCAAAGTTGACACCATTGTGCCGTTGAGGGTGGGGGCTCAAAACATAAAATTTCCCAATTTCTCTCTAAACTATTTTAAAACGCTTAAAAAGCGCTTGTTTTTTGTACGGTTATTGGCTGAGAAAACTAATAAAAAAATAGTAAACTTTAAAATACCCAAGTTATTCTGATGGAGAATAAGTTTTAAAACTGTTTTAGTTTGCTTGTTATTGGATATATTTTGATCAAACTTGGTAAATTTATTTATTTTATACTAAGCTATTAATATTCTATGGTACTATAAAACACACTTTATTGCCCTGCCTGTAGTAGCAAACCTAAGTCCTCGTTAAACCTAATTTTATTTTAATAGAATTAATTGAAAATCAAATCAGGCAAATGAAAATTCGCTTAGTCTGCAGGCTTGTCGTGGCGGGGGTATTTAAAATCATTTGGTTCGTTTGATGCTAGTTCTGCTAACAAAGAAATGTGACCGAACCGGTTCCTGTTTTTTTTTCTTGCATCATATTTTTTGTGGCTTGCGTTTTTTCTCATCTTCTAAACAAACAAAACCACCCCAAATAGCCACAACAGCGTTAGCATCCATTTTAAACGCAACTCGACTGTCACTGCGATAGAGAAGAAAGAGTACTGTGCGGTGGCGGCAAGCATGCTTGATCGTCTGTCTGAAACGCCGATCATGCTTCCTGTGTATGGGGGGGCTTTATGGGTTGCGGAAGTAACTATGTAGGTTGAACAAAATAACAAGGAAAAATTAAACAAATGACTTGTCACATGTGTTTATAACAAGCCATCCACTACTACCAGTCATATACTTATCAAATATAAAAAATACAGTACAAAGGGGAAAACATCAGTTGCAACTATTGAGCAAAGATTACACTGAAGATTATTCGTGTACACAGCTCTCGATCGTTTTAAATTCTCGAGCCGGCAAAACCTCATTTTCGGCCCTAGGTACGAAATATATTTATTTACTAGTGTCCCTGTTGCTCGAATTTGAGCAATTGCCAAGTATTACAGGCGTTATTTTAAAACGAATAACAGTCATAATTTCTGATGACAACAGTTAGATATAATCAAAATCTTTTGTAAATATCATATCTTTTTTCAAAAAGCTTATCTTGTTTTTTAGTGTTTTCTACAAATTTTTCCCTCTCATAGCCGCATTAGGTTGTCTATGACAACGATTATAAATGAAACAAAAAATCATTTCTATTTCTTCTACTTGGTTGTGTTCTATGACTTTTTCTATGTTTCCATTGTTTGCAAATCGATTATTTCAATGATTGCTCAAGAAATGTAGAACAGTGTTAATTCAGTTTTATTTTTAGCCCATATCAGATTGTCCAGGATTCCCCGCGCTTTTCCATTGTAATAATTACATCAACCCAAGTTTCGTCTACAGATGCAATATGCCAACGAATATCACCTACGTACAATCTCCAAGAAGTGGTAAAAAAGGCAGAAACCAACCCATACAATAGATATAAGTTAACTCCAAATTAATTTGAAACTGTTTTTCTTTGTCACAGCTATTTTGAGAGAACGGCTGGGTGTAGAAACTCGGTAGAGGTGTCTAAAGAAAGGTCTTGGTCTGTAGATGAGCCATCAAAAGAGAAATATGGTGAATTCCCTTGGGGCTCTGCCCCCGTGGCCTTTAAATTCCCATCCCATGTTATTCTTATGGAGGAAAACGGGGTTTTTGTCACAGCTAATTTGAGAGAACGGCTGGGCGTAGAAACTTGGTAGGGGTCTCTAAACAAAGGTCTTGGTCTGTAGATGAGCCATCAAAAGAGGAAAGAGGTAAATTCCCTTGGGGCTCTGCCCCAGAAGCCTTTAAAGTTGCCTCTTCAGATTTGTTTACATTACGACCATATGCATAATTGTACACTACTTTTTAATGCAACAGCTGTTAATATTTAAATTGTGATTTATTGAATTTGTCAAAATGAAGTACAGCATTTGCAATGGATTTTTCTGATTTCAAAATTGATTTTCTCCTGCATCGTGTCATGTTTTGCAATATAATGTTATTGAGTTAACTTATATCTATTGTATGGGTTGGTTTCTGCCTTTTTTACCACTTCTTGGAGATTGTACGTAGATGATATTCTTTGGAATATTGCATCTGTAGAAGAAACTTGTGTTGGTGTAATTATTACAATGGAAAAGAGCAAGAAATCCTGGACAATTTGATATAGGCTAAAAATAAAACTGAATTAACACTGTGCTACATTTCTTGAGCAATCATTGAAATAACCGATTTGCAAACAATGGAAACATAGAAAAAGTCATAGAACACAACCAAGTAGACGAAATAGAAATAATAATGTTTTCTTTTACACTAAAAACACTAAAAAAACAAGATCAACTTTTTGAAAAAGATAAGATATTTACAAAAGATTTTGATTATATCTAACTGTTGTGTAGATCGTGAGTATTTCCATAATCTTTGAGTCGCCTGTAATGCTTCGCAATTGCTCGAATTCGAGCAACAGGTACTTTACACTGATTTGGTAATAGAACATTATATTGCAAAACATGACACGATGCAGAATAAAATCCAATTTAAAATCAGAAAAACCCATTGCAAATACTGTACTTCATTTTGACAAATTTAATAAATCACAATTTAAATATTAACATCTGTTTCATTAAAAAGTAGTGTAGAACTATGCATATGGTCGTAATGTAAACAAATCTGAGAGGCAACTTTAAAGGCTTCCCCATGGGAATTTACCTTGCTCCTCTTTTGATGGCTCATCTACAGACCAAAACCTTTCTTTAGAGACCCCTACCAAGTTTCTACGCCCACCCGTTCTCTCAAATTAGCTGTGACAAAAACCCCGTTTTCCTCCATAAGAATAACATGGGATGGGAATTTAAAGGCCACTGGGGCAGAGTCCCAAGGGAATTCACCATGTTTCTCTTTTGATGGCTCATCTACAGACCAAGACCTTTCTTTAGACACCTCTACCGAGTTTCTACACCCAGCCGTTCTCTCAAAATAGCTATGACAAAGAAAAACAGTTTCAAATTCATATATAGATTTTGTTAACTTTGCAGTTAATAGTAGTTTTTAATGTAATTTTCAGGTTGAAAAGTCAGAAGCCAAAACTGAAGTCAGCAGTCTAACACAAGTAGAAGTTGAACCACCTCAAATCCTAAAATATGAAGATCAATCTCAAGGTAAAGTACTTCAGCTGTATAGTGATAAATTGTATGTTTCTAAACTATATTAAGATTTTCCAGCAATTTTCCCTACTGGGTAGTAATCACCCTACTGAGTCATCATGGTAGACCTTTGCGCCCGTCTTTTTATAAGATTTCCACATACAGTAAACCCCCTCTTAACCGACCTCGCATTAACCAATATCAGCCCTCAATCGTAAAATACTACAGTTTGTTCTAATCTAACCGACCTTGCTTTGAGAGCAGTTTGGTTTAACCGCTGCTATCTCGGCATTTCCGCTCCCACGCTTGGCGATGGGAACCATACACTTATCTCCACCGGATGTCACTTAAAAATAAGTTATTTTATTTTGTATTTATACCAAAAAAATATTGCATATTGCCAGTTTTTCATCATTGTAGCGCAAGCACAACTGATTTGTTAACTTTGCGGTAAATTTATAAAATCGTGAAGTGCGTTGAAGAATCTATAATAATGATTCTACAGGTTTGCCACAGACTTTAAATTCCGGGAAAACGATAATTATGCAGGAATTTTGAAATATAATTGGGAAAGAATTATTCGTTAAAATTAAACGTCTTCTGTGATCACATCAAAATCCAAAACATCTTGTGCGGTCACAGCATTTGAGAACAATTTCCGTAGTCACAGCGTCATCATTGTGGGGACAACAATCATGGGAGCACGATCGCTTTAAAATGGTGAATTTTCAATCAAGCATCTTCACAAACAATTTTGTGGTCGCCGAAATTGCGCTCGGCCTGATTCAATTTGAGCTTGGCCTGTAAAATCATTTTCGGCCTATACCGATCCCTCAGTCCAGTTGTTGGCCGGGACCGGCAAACCCCTAGTAAAAAATACACTTGATGACTGGAAATCACTACCGAAAATGAGTGCTCCATGATTCCTACAGCTAGTTAAAGTTATCTCATTTTGATGGAACTCCTTATTTTAGGTAGACCTACATTTGCTCCCACTAGTTCGCAACTCAATCACGGGAAGTAATTTTTTAAATCTATTATAGACTATGCTGCATGCAAGATGAGGTAATTGACATGTTTTTTTGGCTGCAAGAATAATATCTCGTCTGCAAACATAAATTGCTAGATAACTGAAGCTTATGAATGCTTATGAAATGCAATGAGTGAGATTAACACATTCGCTGTGGCCCACCAAATGGCAGACGTAGCCACGGTGCGGCGCAGCGTAGAGCAAACCTGTTTATCTTTCAAATATTTTGGTCTGACGAAAAGCTAATGATGTGCAGTGATGTGCTGCGTTACGACGAGAGTCGACGTAGTTTGCTGATACACTCACAGATAACAGCACTGTCTGGAACGAGCCGGTCCCATTGTATCACCAATTAAAGGGAGAAAGACGGGAGAACAAGTCGATTTCTAAGAACAAGCTCCATATATTCTAAATGGACTAGCTGTACAGTTTTTGTACAGTCACATAATGAGTTAACGCTAAACATATATTTTCTACCTTATTTTTTGTTACTGTAATAAGTAATAGTTCATGTGACTTATAAAAGAGGCTATAGCTTACAATAAGTTGTCCTATCAGTTTGCCTTGGTTAAAATGTTGGGGCATTTGACAAGAGGCTCAATTCAACCATGTTCTTTTTGACTAAAAGTACTGGCGACAACTTTAACAAGGGATCAAAATGTCCAGTTCAATCATCATCAAAGGTTACAGGTGAATCTTCTGTCATGTCATGGCTAGTTTTAAATGCAATTTGCTTGTTGATTTTGACTAAATAAAGTGATTTGATGTTTTTATTCCATCGTATTTGTTACAAGTAAATGGTTTATTTTGTTTCAGATGGTGTGGTAATATGTGAGAAGTGTGGATTGGTTCTAGAAAGTGAGAAAGCATTGAAGAAACACAAAAAAACTCACTTGGAGTTGAAAGACCAATTGAAAATTAAGTCGGTTTATGAGTTTCAACACTTTAGTGTAAAGCTGAAAAAGAAGAAAAAGGTATTCTTTTGCAACCGATGCAAATACGAGGCATCTACTTCTGAGGACATGGAAAAACATTTGAAAACCCATAAGACAGAACCGGAATACATGTGTGATATTTGCGGCAGACGTTTTAAGTATTTGAAGACTTTTGAACGTCATAAAAACGTTCATGATGAAAGTCGACCTTTTGCGTGTAAATTTTGTGCTTACAGAGCGATGACTGAACTTCTGTTGAAGATCCACGAGAGGCAACACGACGATCAGAAGAAATACGTTTGTTCAAAGTGCGGTTATAAAACCCTGAAGAAAATGTCTTACATCATCCATTGTAGAATTCATACAGGCGAGAGGCCATACTGTTGCCCCACTTGCCCTTACAAAGCTAAAGATCCTAGCACGCTGGAACGTCACCGACGGATACACGGAGGCATCAGACGTTACCATTGCACTCTTTGTAACTACAAGTCAGTGCAGAAGGCAGCGTTGGATATCCACATGAGGATGCATACTGGGGAGAAACCTTTTGCTTGTACTCAATGCGAGTATCGTTCGGCCAACAGACACAACTTGAAGGCTCACATTGCAGCCATTCACTCTGACGAGAGACCCTTCGCTTGCACTCAGTGCAGCTACAGGACCAAGCTGAAGCGACTGTTGACATTACACACCAGGAAACACACGGACGAGAAGCCTTACACCTGTGCACATTGTGGCGCTAAGTTTAGATACAGAAGTGCTATGAGTTACCACGTGAGCAAGAAACATCCTGCAAAAGAAAATGGAGAAATGACCTGCTATGTGCTGAATTATTGTGAATCCCAGAAACTCAAGTTTAACGGAGAAGACCTTGTTTTCTCAGAGGCAGACTCGGATTCTGGATCTGATAATGAAACTGTGTATGAGATTGTAGACGTAGATGATGTAGTTGTAGAAACTACGTAATGTTTACATTTTAAAATAATGATAGTTTTTGTAGGTATATTTTTGAAAAGCTATTTAACTAAAAACATTTAAAAGTGGAATTTGGATTGTCTTGCCCTTGTTGACTTTAGTAACAATTGGGGATTTGTGTTCTTTAGCTCCTTAGTACTTCTTATAAAAATAATTACATGATCCAAATTGTTGTACTTGTTTATTTCAATAGTCTTGTCAAAATTACTAGGCTATGATGTTATTTTTTTCTCCATAAATAGAAGTGGTTGGTTCACCTTACAGATTCAGATTAAATTCCTATGGAATGCCATATGAACAGAAATGGAAAGTTGCCAATACTTTTGAGCCCCCCCGTAATCCCCATATATCAAATAATACTTTCACATTTATGGGCAAAGAACAAACCCAAATTTTCCAGGGCACAAACAATACAAGTTCAAATTTCAGTTAGGGAGAGTTATGAAGACAACAAATTCTAGATACTGTTACCTTTTTTCAGTTCATTTTGACACAGAATTTAAAAAAAAGTTATCGGTTTAGGGACTAATCTTCTCCCTATGGCTCTTTATTAGTTGAGCTTGTGTAAAAACAAAGAAATGCAATCTTTTAAGATTTCACTGCTTCTATTCAAAATTGAGTCTGATAAGTTTAAAATTCTTAAACATGTTTTTAGTGGACATACACATAAGTCCCGTAAGTAAACATTCTAATAAAGCAAAGCTAGTCAGGTTGCACCTCATTTGGCATATTTTACATCTACAAATCTTAATATTTCAGCTATTAATATGAGATTAATTCTATCATTATGGAGTTTTTGCAAGCTCTATGAGAATGTATTGTACTGTACATTAAAAGTAAATAATTGGTTTTAAGCGGTCCTCACACAAGTCCATTGAACGTAATGCCAAAAACTGACGAAATGTGCAAGCACGGCGTGCATTGGCATCAGGGCCGATTTACCGAATAGGCACGGTAGGCATGTGCCTAGGGCGCGAGGCAATTGGCTTTTTTGGGGGTCGCCAAAAAATTGAAAATAAAAAACAATCGTGATAGTATGTGCATTCTATCGCAGTAAACTTCTGATAACCCCTCGCGGCCGTGTAGGCATCGTAATCGTCTCCCGCGTTTGCGGCAAGATTCTTACTATTTTCTGCAGTCAGGTCGTTTGGACATAAAATTATCGTCTTCCATGATCGAGGCAATATATGAACATATCCCGCGGTCGTGAGGAGATTATCATCGTCTACCGCAAATGAGGCAAAATTCTTATATTTTCCCGCGGTCGTGAGGACCGTATCATCCTCGTCTTGCGCGTTCGCGGTCAAATTCTGACCACCCCTCGCGGTCGTGAAGACATCCAATAGTTCTATGTAGCATATTTTGAAGGTCATAAAAATGCTGCTTGAAGAAAACACACTTTTAAAAATAAACACTAAAAAACAATATTTTTATCACAAAAGCACTTCCATGAATACAACGATTTTAGCCTTAAAGTTACCTTCAGGAAGATTACCCTGGTCAGAGTTTTCCGTAACGAATATGCGTATCCTATTAAAAGATGTAGCCTTACTTAAAACAACATATAATATAGTTGCTCATGACTGAAATTGGTCTGGGTAAGAACAGCGCTGCAAATGCCAAAGGTAACAGAAATTAGCATCTTTCCATTTTAAAAGGTAAGTTTGTTTCAGACGGGTAAATTTTTATCCTCGAAATCAAAATACGTCCCTACTCACTCTTGTTCCAGTTAAGACTTTACATTCTATTAAGTTGTTGACCATTCTGATCACGTGAAGCCTTGTGCCATTTATGAGGCCCTTTTTTATGTATTAATATTCCTCATCAATAAGACCACTGCCCCCTTTTATAAGTCTAATCTGTGTCTTGGCAATCCACTGACCTCTATATTTACTAGGTGTACAATGCAGTTGTCTGCTTGCATTATTGAGCGGAGCTACCATATTAATCCAATACTTTTCTAAAGTCAACAGCACATCTGTTTCTCGTAAATGAGATTAAATACTTGCAGTATCCAATGTCAATAATCTATTTGATTTACATAAATGGAATGACTATTCAAATCCAATTATAAGTCTGGTTCACGTAAATGAATTGTCTACTTACAGGAACCAAAGTCTATGTTTCATCTGGTTCTCATATATTAAATGTCTACTTGCAGTATCCAATGTCAATGATACATTTGGTTCGCATAAATAAAATGCCTATTTGCAGCATCCAAAGTCAATGGTACCGGTACGCGTGGTTCACTTAAGCCGGGTTTACACGCTCCAATAAAACATAACGACTTGTCTGCAACGACTAATCTTTACTTAGGAAAAGGTAAACGATGGCTTTTTCCTAACATACAGATATCACAAATAGTTTCTGGCTTACTACCAGAAATGTTGATATCATCAGTCAAACCATTAATTAATCTTGTAAGGCTATCAAAATTCAAATGTCCCATACGCTGATGCCACAGTGTTAAGTCATTGCTTTGCATGGATAATGCAGATGTGTTTTTAGGCATATCCAGCTGAAACAGATTGTTTATTAAACTAAGCAGAAGCAATGAGCTGACCTGTTGAATTGAAAACTTTGGCTTCATCACTACAGTATTGAATACCACAGAGTTTCCCTTATTTACAATTTGACTCACTGATAAAAGATAGGCACATAATGTACATTACTTACATTCGCTTCTTAGAACTCACCAGAAATACATATTGGAAGCTCCAAATCACCGACGGTATCAGTCACCATTGTCTCATTATTTGCTGTGGTGATCGTTAGTGCTTGGCCTTTTCTTGCATTCAGAAGCATGTTAACGTCAACACATAAATGACAAGATGCACCGCTGTCTAAAAAGAACTCATTGGTAACGCCCGATTGCATTGAAAATGCAGCAAAAAGTGACATATTAGATTTGCCAGAGTTTACGTTATTTTTGCTCACTAACTCTTGTAGATGTACCTACTGAGGAGGATGCAGAGGATAGAGCAAGATGGATAGGCTTTGTTGGTGCGGCCAAATATCTTCTTAGATATGCATGGCCCTGAGAGTAAGAGTAAGTAACTCTTGTAGATGTACAGTTCTTTGAGATAATGAGATGTGACCGTAAACATTGCATTTATAACATCTCGGACCTTTCTTCACATTTTTGTCCAAACTACTCGTGTTTCTGTTCTTTTGATACGCTTTGTGAACTGTCCCTCTCGAACTGGAACCATACAGTGCGGAATCAGTTCCTGCAAAAAGTCACGTTGTACCTACTGGAGACACATTCTGGAATAACTTTGTTTTTATCTCAGCCGTTATCATTGGTTCATACCGGATGGGTAAACCAGCTAGTAAGATTGTTCCAACCCATTCATCCCCTTCAGACCCACAGTTGTAAGCTTGTGAGCAGTTGTGTCTATGCGCGGTTCACGTATTCCTCAACAGAACTACAATCTTCCAGCTTTGTAGTTATTAGAATACGGAGAAGTCCAACTCTCCTGCTCCTGCTATCCATCATCTTGGAAAGCCTTTGTTAAATTGTCCCAAGCTGCCTTTGCGGTGGTTGTGTTTTAAATATGTACATAATTCACCGGATCAACCAATAAGATCAGCTTTGACCGACATTTAATGTCCTTTTTCTTATCCTGTTCTACACCAGATACACAGTCCCACAAATCCAAATCTTCCAGGTAAGCTTGTACTGCAAACTTCCATGTATCAAAATTCTCACGACCTTTAAGCCTTTCAAGTTTCAATTGGTAATGAATTTTGAGTCATATTGCTGTTACAAACTTATGAAGTCGGTATTCCTTAAATGAAGCACTGAATAAAATATCCTGGGCCCATAACCTGTTGTAAACGGACTTAAATTGTGTAGAAAATGATAAAGACAAAAGGTGTTTTAGGTATAAGTTTTACTTAATACAAAACCACAACATAGCTTTCCACAAAACAACATCTGGTATCCATGACAACTAACTTATACACATGTGATACCAAAATGAACTATTCTCACAAATCATATTTCAACAATAAGTCATAATTAGTGTTAGCCATGTCAAAATAAACTACAGTAAAACTGAAATACACACAAGATATAAAAAAAACAACCCAAATATATAAAATACAACATCAACAACAAAAGCAAGGTATTTATCCTATATTTGCTTATAATATACTAGCTGGCCCAACAGACGTCGTCCTGTCCTAATGTGGTTTTATGACAATGCTCGTTCATTTTCAAGATGAGCTCGTTCGCATGGCTCAATCACGTCCTGGTTGCAGTTCGTTTGCTACGCTCAATTACCTTTAGGTTGGAGCTCGTTCGCTGCGCTCACTTGCCTTTAGGTTAGCTCGTTCGCTAAACTTAATGCTGAACTTATTGCCGCGATCCGTTTTTTGTTATCAAGCTTTCTTGATAAAATATTTCAATTATTTTATTTAAAATGTCAATATTTCAAAAACCAAATATGACAATGAAAAATGGATTGCGGCATTGAATTCAGCATAAAAAAGTAGTTCAAAATGATGGGTCACAACACCACCTTCATATTTAAAATAATTTATCACATTTCAAAATGGCGGATCCAAGATGGCGGCTGAAAAAAATACATCCGTCATAACCAAGTGAAAATAGGTCAAATATGAAAGGTGGTGTCCACTTATCTTTATCTAGCACTATTTTGAGATTATGGCCTTAGTTTGTAAATGCACCATGTTATAATGGGCTAAAAATAAAGTTATAAAAAGTTCTCATAACTTTAGAATGGATCAATATTTTTAAAAACGGATTGCAGCATCATATTCAGTGTAAAAATCTACTCTTACTCTCAGGGCCATGCATATCTAAGAAGATATTTGGCCGCACCAACAAAGCCTCTCCATCTTGCTCTATCCTCTGCATCCTCCTCAGTAGGTACATCTACAAGAGTTAGTGAGCAAAAATAACGTAAACTCTGGCAAATCTAATATGACACTTTTTGCTGCATTTTCAATGCAATCGGGCGTTACCAATGAGTTCTTTTTAGACAGCGGTGCATCTTGTCATTTATGTGTTGACGTTAACATGCTTCTGAATGCAAGAAAAGGCCAAGCACTAACGATCACCACAGCAAATAATGAGACAATGGTGACTGATACCGTCGGTGATTTGGAGCTTCCAATATGTATTTCTGGTGAGTTCTAAGAAGCGAATGCAAGTAATGTACATTATGTGCCTATCTTTTATCAGTGAGTCAAATTGTAAATAAGGGAAACTCTGTGGTATTCAATACTGTAGTGATGAAGCCAAAGTTTTCAATTCAACAGGTCAGCTCATTGCTTCTGCTTAGTTTAATAAACAATCTGTTTCAGCTGGATATGCCTAAAAACACATCTGCATTATCCATGCAAAGCAATGACTTAACACTGTGGCATCAGCGTATGGGACATTTGAATTTTGATAGCCTTACAAGATTAATTAATGGTTTGACTGATGATATCAACATTTCTGGTAGTAAGCCAGAAACTATTTGTGATATCTGTATGTTAGGAAAAAGCCATCGTTTACCTTTTCCTAAGTAAAGATTAGTCGTTGCAGACAAGTCGTTATGTTTTATTGGAGCGTGTAAACCCGGCTTAAGTGAACCACGCGTACCGGTACCATTGACTTTGGATGCTGCAAATAGGCATTTTATTTATGTGAACCAAATGTATCATTGACATTGGATACTGCAAGTAGACATTTAATATATGAGAACCAGATGAAACATAGACTTTGGTTCCTGTAAGTAGACAATTCATTTACGTGAACCAGACTTATAATTGGATTTGAATAGTCATTCCATTTATGTAAATCAAATAGATTATTGACATTGGATACTGCAAGTATTTAATCTCATTTACGAGAAACAGATGTGCTGTTGACTTTAGAAAAGTATTGGATTAATATGGTAGCTCCGCTCAATAATGCAAGCAGACAACTGCATTGTACACCTAGTAAATATAGAGGTCAGTGGATTGCCAAGACACAGATTAGACTTATAAAAGGGGGCAGTGGTCTTATTGATGAGGAATATTAATACATAAAAAAGGGCCTCATAAATGGCACAAGGCTTCACGTGATCAGAATGGTCAACAACTTAATAGAATGTAAAGTCTTAACTGGAACAAGAGTGAGTAGGGACGTATTTTGATTTCGAGGATAAAAATTTACCCGTCTGAAACAAACTTACCTTTTAAAATGGAAAGATGCTAATTTCTGTTACCTTTGGCATTTGCAGCGCTGTTCTTACCCAGACCAATTTCAGTCATGAGCAACTATATTATATGTTGTTTTAAGTAAGGCTACATCTTTTAATAGGATACGCATATTCGTTACGGAAAACTCTGACCAGGGTAATCTTCCTGAAGGTAACTTTAAGGCTAAAATCGTTGTATTCATGGAAGTGCTTTTGTGATAAAAATATTGTTTTTTAGTGTTTATTTTTAAAAGTGTGTTTTCTTCAAGCAGCATTTTTATGACCTTCAAAATATGCTACATAGAACTATTAAATTCATATAATAAAATGTTTTGTTAAATGTGTTTTAAAAATCTTTAAAAAATAACTACCCTATAACCTTGCTCGCTGCCTATAACAAACTTGAACTTGAACACTTATATAATACGATGAATTTGTTTTCTAAATTCATATGTTATTTTGCGGGGCATTGAGCCGCACAGGTTCACTAGTTGTTTGTTAATGCACTGAACTGTACTAAATATAAAAATGGAGCTGTCCGTTGGAATGAAAAAAAAAATTTGTTTATTTTTTGTCAGTGCCTTAATTCCTTTCTGATACTTTACCAAGGCTTGAAGACGTCCCACTGGTTATGTGCATCAGAGAATAGTTTACCAAGTGGATAATGCTCCGCTCTTCGATAATGATTTCGAAAATGGTATTGGTAATTTATTGGACTCAACATAGTTTTTCACAAGCTCAACTCAAGTACATTTCTTTCTACGGATCCAGTTTCCTTAAATTTTGGCAATTCCACGAATAGTTTATTTATTAGGTACTGGAATCACACCTTGAAACTTTATTTCAAGCCTTTTTTCATCAAATTAATTATTTACTTTTCATTTTCATTTTTAAGTTTCATATGTTCAGACCTTGATTGATAAACATTTCAATAGTATTTAGCCTCAAGTTAGTAACAATTCAACTGAGTTTTTAGTAAATTGATTCATTCATATAGTTCTTAATCAATTTATTTGATTTTATTTTATTTGATACACCACTGAACACTTACTTCCATTGAGGCGTTATTAACGACTATTCTTGCCTTCTTGTATAAACACTGAGGGAATACAAATTTGACACAATTTAAGAAAGACATGGTAAGTTTTATTTTAAAATGAACCTAAATACTAGAAAATTTGTAAAATTTTTTTATTTTTCTCATATTTTCTGTAAAAAATAAATGTTACAAATATTGTCTGGTAAATTAAAGTGACAGAGTAGTCTATGTGCTGATAACTATTGCTTAGTCACTGGGCTAAAACATCGACAATACGCACAACATTTATAAATGGATAAAAATGTTTTCAGCCAAAGAGAAACAGCGCTATGCATCACTAGCGTTACGGGTTCGTCACCTTCGGTCTCACACAAAAACTTACGTCCAGGCTCCAACGTTACCACTCGGAAACAACAAGAACAATAAGATCTGAGTAAGAATAACAAATAACGTAAATAACATAACTCGGTCAAACATCAACAATAGAATTTTTCACAGCTGTTTCTCTTTGTTACAATAACGTCTAATGACAAACAAACAATAGATAAACAACACTTTGCGACAGGACGCGACAGAAGCCACAACCAAGCAGCCGAGCGAGATGCGTGCGCAAACACGCTGGCTGAAAGACCCCATATATATGATATAAAGTGAAATTATAAAAACTCTACTGATATAAATATATTATTTTGATGATATATGTTTTCAACTTAATCTATATTAAACTACGATAAATATTATAGCAAATATATATAGTAATATCTTAAAACAGTAAACTCTAAAATTACGGTATATTTGGATAAAGACTTATAAATTATCGTAAACAAAGTAAAATTCAGTGTTGAACAAGATTGGGATCACAGCGACTAACTTTACGAGCTTTAACATGGAGTCGATAACCAAGTTCATTAGTGAATTATTTCAGTGCACTTTCCAAGTGTACAATATAATATATTCCTTTTATAAATAAGCTCTACAAACTAAATTAATTGTTAAGAAAGAAAAATAAATAAATTGTTAAATACATCACTAATAATAAGCAGAAACAGCCTTAAAGTAGCCAAGAGATAAGGAAATAAAATGTTAAAACTTGTCAAGAACAGAATACAGTAACAGGTATTATGTATAAGTTAATCAGTGTTTTAAGTTGATAAAAGGCAATCTAGATCAGTTTCACTCAGAGTATATAAAATTCAAACTCGTAAAATTATCTTTAAGATTCTGTTTTGGGTAAGTACCATCGAGTTAAATTAGAAAGTAAATCTTTGGTTACTATTCATATTCACGGTACAATGTAGCGAAGCAGTTGCCAACAAATATCGACACAGTTAAATGTTAAAAATAATTAAACTGATTCTTTTCATCTTATTGCTAAATTCAACAACTGGATTTCACTAAATAAAGAATAACTTAGGTCTACTTAAGGAATAATCAGGTGTTAACCTACATAAATACTACAGAGACTAACACGAAAACACAATCCAAATATGCGACTTAAATTATTATTTGTAAAATACTTTTCGTATTGCTATAAGAGCTAGCCTAGTGATTGATAAAGTTTCGGGGTCTAATTACAAATGTAGGGTCGGAAAATAAAATATGCGGCAAAATAGAATTAACCTTATTTGAATATAGCATTCTACAAAACTAGAAGGCTTGTAAACATTTAATGCCAGTTTCTGGCTCTTTTTGTTCTGTATAAAATACATCGATTATGAAAATATCGTTTTAGACAAAAAAAGTGATAACCGGTTTAACGTGAACCCCACTGAGATTTGATCTCTTCGCAAAACAACCTTACTCTCTTAATAAAATAAAATCTCTGGCGCTATCTACATATAAATATAATATAAACTTTACTATATACAAAAATATATTATGATGAGATCGTGTTGCCAATCTGTTGGTAGATGTAGTCCGAGTATGCAGGTGGAAGATAAGGAGGAAGAGTTTAAATGACTGGAATATCAGACGCATTTTAATACTAAACAAATATTTCACTAAAATAGATCTTTGAACAAAAAAAGACAAACTTACTACACGACAGTATTCGCATTAAATTTTCAATATAAATTCAGTATTTGGACAAATATCATTTTTGTGATAATCACAATTTTAACAAATCAGCGTACAAACTTAGAACACTATGACTTAGTAATTTTCATCTGTTTGTCGTCTAATCACTGGTTTGTTTTAAGGCAAGATTCGTTTACAGACCTACAGACCCAAACACAAAGTCTAAAGCTAATACTTGTAGTGGTGAGCAGAACCAGGTAATGTTGAGATCAATGTTGCCAACACAAACTATAATCATGCTCTGCAAACCAATGTTGCCAACACAAAACTATAATCATACTCTGCAAACGATTGGAAAACAGATACAGCAATACCATGCAGGATTTCTTCTGAGCAGACTTAAAATACGTCTAAACCTACTTGACTTAAAACTAAACAAACAATAGTTTTATTTCTTTCGTTTTCAGAGAGCCTTGCTTGTTCACTCCTCATGGTTCTTAGAAAAATGTAGAACAATAATTCGAAGAGGTTGGATTCCAAAACTCAGAAAGAATTTATTAAGTTTGGCTGGTAAAACAGGAGACAATTTATTGACTAAAAAATTAAAAGTCTGTTGAATGGTGGTCCGAACCATGAGAGCCAAAGCAAGCAGTTCATCAGGTAACTCAAAACCTTGTTGGATTGTGTTATGGCGTGTGGGTCCAGTTTATCATTTGGAATGTATCTCACTTTTTACCTCCTCCAAGAGTAATGTCTTTACAAAACCTGTCTGATTTACAATCAAGTTAAGATTGTCAACAGAACTTCACATTTATCACATTTTTTCAACCAACCAATGTCAGCCCGTTTGTCTACTAGCTTTCAAGTCCAAAATTGTGGATCTAAGGGGAAAATATTTGGAATGATTTACGTTGGTGGATTGAATCCAAACAGACAAATCTTGTGTTTAACTTTCAATTTTCAATTCCTATCCAATCAAAAATACCATGTAAATTACTTTAATTTTTTCGCTTTATAAACTGGGCCCACTTATATTTCCAAATCTTCACATTTATTTACATCAATGCAGATAAATAGCATACCTTCAGTAAATAACACTACTTACACGTAATCTTACTCGTATAGATATATCAACACTACATTTGTTGCTTTCTCGTTTGAAACGTTTGACAATTTTGTAAACTTTGTCAAATTTAAATCATTCAATAATTTCCAATGATCCACATTAGGCCTGATTCATTCAATAAACGACCGTGACCACAGCCATTCTGAGATCAGGAAGAATTTCGTACGTGACTCTCGACTCTTCACCGAGACTATCTAAGTCTACGCTCGAGCAGGCACCAGCAATCATGATAAATACTGCCAATCGAATCCTCAATTTCCACAAATAAATTTGGTCGTCTCATTCTTCGGTCCTGATCTCTGTTATCGTTTGTTCACGGTCGTGTGACCGTTGCGCGCCGTCTAGTCGCCAAACCGACTGCACGCCTTCTTCCATTTGCACTGAGTGCACCACAGCTCGCGGTGCTCCATGCCGTAGACTTTGCGGCACTTCTTGGTCTCTCCGCGTACCTTGCGTGTGGGACTGCCTGGCAGCTTGCCACTTGGCGCAGACACACTCAGCTTCATGTGCTTCTGGGGCGAGTTCTGGAACAACACAATCCAACATCACTACACACACACCACAATAACAGTAAATTAATTTGTAAACCTTCTGGCAGGATTACTTATCGACAAAAACTTTCAGTGCTGGATTTACCACTAGGCCCACTACATCGCAAGCAAAAGAGGGCCATAGTGTTTTGAAAACAAACATTTTATTTCAACAAAACTTTATTTTCTATTTTCTAAAATTAATTAATTTTTAAGATTCTGGTTAACGATGATGATGCCCCAGTGATTGTGGGAGATGTTCACAATTTTGCCGCAAGCAAGAACTTCCAGGTACCTACTAGGGTTGAGGTAGCCTCTCGGGTTGATTTGGACTAAGGCCGCAAGTAGCCTAAATCCAGCACACTTAACAGTTTAGGACCAGTGTTTAACTCTTAATATTTTTTTGTGTTAATAGATCCTTCTTCTAAGTGTGCTTTTCACTTAAACTCTCAAGCAGGGCTGATTCCTTGTTCTCAAAGCAAAATTTAGTTCAAAATCGACGACTTATGCTGAAACGTAAATACTGTTAGAATGAAATTGGTAATGAGGCTAGAGACTTGACAGGAAATGTAATGTGTAATGTTGACTCACAGGTGAGGTAGCGGCTGACATGGCCCAGTGGGTGGAGTGGTGGGGGATGTTGATGGCTCGACTTGAAGCATAGTTATGTTGGCTGAGGCTGCGTTGGTACTCAGGATCTGAAACATCAAATTAATAAATTCTACTGGTCTAACAAAGCTGAACCTCAACCAAAAACATATATGGCAGAGCTACATTAATGTTAGAATGTATTGGTTTTACAATTTATAAAAGTGAGAACTTTGGTAACAACACATAGAATTAAAGTACAAAGGAAGCTCTAGTATGTTTTGAAGAAAATATACTTGTGACGAGTAAGGAGGAGCCCGAGTGGTGAGCAGTTCGCAATCCTATCGCACAGGACTCGGAGCTTCCTCCACTGTGAGCGTTATAGTGTTTTCCACAGTCCGGATAGTGGTTTTTCCGGTTAAACCGACATCCCCAAAATCTAATTAAAACGGACCGTTTAAATGCATAGTCTATACAGTATTTGACTTAAAATTAGGAGAACATTGTATTTAGACACGTAATCACTGTACCGCCCACTTCCTGCCGATCTAGTCCGGTTAAACCGATGTGCTGATAAAAATTATCCGTATAAAGAGATGTCACTTCTCCCGAGTGTGGTCCGGTTAAACCAATGTCTGGTTAAAAGGTGTCCGGATAAGAGGGAGTCTACTGTATTGAATGTTTCCTTTGTACCTTACTTCTCTGTGGTAGCCTAATAGGTAATTTTCAGTTTTTTTGCATTTATTTATTATTCATGATTATATTTTCCAGGTATCAGAGTGTTCAACTCATCGATCCACAATATGGACAAATATTTTCAAATCAGCTAGTCACAAGTTTTTCCTTGAAATAATCACATAACGTAGGCCTACCCGTAGATAAAGCTGTAGGTTTAAGAGTAGAAAGTTGTTTGCACTTCTACACCATAGTGTAGACTGGTTTTGAAGGGAAACAGATCACACATTATGTTTTTTAGTCCTAACCAAAATTTCTCACTCTCCGCCCTCTGCGCATACATACCTTCGTGTGGTGGCCGTGCCATATCTCTATGAGAAAGGGTAGGAGGACTGGAGGTATGCAGTCCCAGTTCAACCTCCGTGTAGTAGAACTCTTCCTCATGATCGTCTTCCATCTCACTGCCTTCATCTCTGTCTTTGGGCCTGAAATGTTCGACAAGAAATTAAAAACAATAAGCTTAAACACATATGGGATAAGAATATTTTATGTTCTTGATATATTTACAGTTAACACTACTGTTGTATACTCTACAATAGTTTTGTTTGTTACAGTCTACAAGCAGAGAGGTAAATAGAGTGAAATTTGTTCAATTTTAAAAAGCCCCTACAAAAGTTGATTTAAAGTACTTCAAGTTTAACTTGAATGATGTATGGACGAGCCATTAAGCCTACAACTAATACATGGCATTGGTTGGGTGTTAATATTGTATTTACTGGAATTCAATTCTTTTCAGTTTATTTTAGTGCTCTACAACATTTTTTTACACCAGGTCTTCTATTGGTTTTGTTTTCTAACAAAGAACACTTTCATCTTAAGAGAGTTTCCTAACCTCTTTGTCTTTAGTAATTTGTCTTTAGTGGATTTGAGCCTGTAGCACAAGGACCTGCATTTAACCAGTGACGCCCCTAGTTCTAGTTTGGCACTGTGTACATAGAGTATGTTTTTATGTGTAATCTTGATGAATCTGATTAACTTTATCATCATAGTTATCAAATTTACATGAGGACAGAAGTATTGAATGAAGTGGGGTGCCTTGTGTAGCTTTTACTGACTAGAATCAGCTGTTTATGTAGCCAGGACATTTACCAAAAGCCCAAAGGACAGATGGGGCTAGTTTCAATCAAAAAGCTACTGCCTTTTCTCGGAACCGAACCGGACGAGCACACATAATTGGTCTCTGTGTTAGTATGGTACATACCCGAGGTGAGTGGCGCGCACATGGGCCTCGATGGCAGCACAGGTTGTAGTAATGACAAGACAGCCCGGCCACGTACACTGGAACACTATGCGGTTTGCCTGCAACAACAACAAATAAATATGTGAAAACTTCAAAAAACACAAACAACAATGGAAACTGGATACAAGAGGCGATGGGATGCAATTAAATTACAGTTATTACAAAGAATAAAATAAATAAACCAATAATAATACAAAATGTGCTCAAAATTACGACTAATATTTGGATAAAATATTTAAATCAAATCAAAATGATAAAACATTTTTGAACACAACAATGAGGAAAAAGGTATAATATAGCTGAATATTCATGTCAGCTGTTGTGCCATAGTGATATGTTGGTCGAGATAATAAAAATTAAATGGATAAGGCGATAAATGATGCCTTTATTGTAATATTTTACCAAATTCAGAGATATAACTTAGGTAATTGATCACCAAACAAAACATTTCCCTATTTCATAAAGCTAGTTTGTTTCCACTCATAAAGTTCTCAAGATCCTAACTATTGCTTAGTCGTAGAACAAATTACAGATTGTACCACAGTTGTACCATACATGAAACATGTAGTCTATGGTTATACAATCATTGATGTACATGGACACAAAAATAATGTCATTGAAAAACCTTTTCCCATGATTAATTATACCCAGTTTATTGTTACATCTCACGTTTTAGTAAACAATATTATGTTAATGTTCAACATCATTCTGTTTCGCCGGTGTAAATATAAAAAAACCCTACGTTGTAGCTTTGGGTTCGATACCGGGCAGAAATTATCTCAGATGGTTGTGGGAGTTGGTGGGTGGACAAAGGGAAGAGCGCGCGCAACTCACCCCAACAACACCCACCACCCGTGACAACATGAGGAAATGTTACAAAACACTGCACGAGCGGTGGTAATATATGGGGCTTAGCACGGATATGGAGTCAGGGGTAAATTGGAAATACGACAAACCCATCCAGAGAGAAACTAACTACTCAAAATACAGTTTTTAAATTTCAAGTTTTGTCCAAACTTACTTACATGTGTTAAAAATCATATTTGTAAAACTTTCTAGTTGAACATTGGTTTATGTTGGTAAGTATTGAGTTTATCAGGGATAGTATTATCTAATTTTGTATCGAATTTAAGATTTTACAAAATGATTAATTTCGATTTACAAGTACGGTAGCCTATACGTTGCAACGATCAATAACACATCATCATGACATTTTTTTATTATTTTTTAGTTCGATAAATGTTTATATATTTTCTCTCTTGTTTATATTTATGATGATTGACTTTTCAAGGGACGATATACTTGACAAATCAATGAAAAGATAATATTTAAACATCATTTGAAAAAGAGATGGACAATGAGGATAAATTGATTGTTATTAAACCTGAGAAAATGCATTAAGTTTTATTTTGTAAAATTATGTAATCCATCTACGTATTATATTCTTTAAGTGCTACAATCAAATTTTATGTAAACTGTTAAGGCCATTTACCAAATAAAAGTATAGGCATGGCACATCAAAATGAAGCTTAGAGTGTGTAGATTTGCCGAAAATTATTGGTATGAACAAATTTCTTATGCGCTCAGCCCCACAGGCCGATTTCCAAAGGGCTACGCCTGACATGCTTCCAAAGTTTAAATGATTAAATTTATTTGAAACAGCTGGTCAATGCAAAAACTGGTGTTTGTTTATTTCCTCGAAAAAGATGTTTGTGATGCTTTATGTAGATTGAGGAAATAATATGCATTATTTATAGTCCGGTGGCTTAGTGTAATTACCGTTACATGGCGGATAAAAGCACCAAATGTGGCATGAAGGTACCTTAAGGTATACTAATAAATTTTAGCCTAGGAGCCCTTTTGAAATTTTAAATATTTCCACACACGGCACCAAAATCCAAAATGGCCGACAAATACAACAAAAACTACCTTTAAAACAATCCATTCTCCTGTTAACTCTAAAATATAACTTAAATCCAACCAAGACTCTACAATACAAACCGGAGACATACTAAATTATATGAAAGAAATCTTATGTTTGTCTGTGTGTGAGTGGGTAGGGGTATGTGTGTGAGTATTTATGTAACGAAATCTGTACTGGACATTGCGCAAAAATGGTCAAACCAATTTACTGCAAATTTGGTGTGGGCTTTGTTAGTATCATATGTCAACATTTGGACCTGTTTCCTTTTATTTATACATTTTTATAATTTTATTTTGTTTATTTTTACAATTTTCATCTATTTTTCTTTTTTTTAGATCTACAGAGTTAGGCAAAAGTATGGAAACCCCCCAGTTAACTTTTTAACGCGTTGCAGTAGGAAAACCAAACTTGGCATATATTTACAAAATAAAAAATTGCACTTTTTCATCAAATTTACAACTTTGCCCCAGCCCCCAGAATGGGGTATTTTGGGGGCAGCCCCAAATTTTCAAAATTAAACACCTATCATGTGACCACTCATTTTAAAGGGTTTATCAAGAGAAGTTGAATGGTGCAAACAAGAGGTCAATATCCCACTCCAAATCGAAATGGCAACCATTTTAATTATTTAAGATGAGCAAGCAAAAGATAAAGTCTTGATAATCCCAGTTAACTTTAAAAATTTAATATTTTAATACTGGCCAAAAGGTGAATTATCTTTTTTATAAAGGTATGTAGAGTTTAGTGTTCCAGCTATAACCTATTACAAAGTTAATAAGATATATTTAAAAATGACTGCCATTTTGATTAGGGGGGAATATCTTGGTGTCATACTTCAAAATTTCATGACAAAATTTCATATTTTAATACTGGCCAAAAGGTGAATTATCTTTTTTTATAAAGGTATGTAGAGTTTAGTGTTCCAGCTACAACCTGTTACAAAGTTAATAAGGTATATTTCAAAATGACTGCCATTTTGATTAGGGGGGAATATCTTGGTGTCATACTGGACCGCACACTGACATTTAAGGCGCATTGTATTGCGACAAGAAGTAAAGACTCAGCGAGGAATAATATCATCTTCCTGAATCATTCCTTCACCAGCAGATGCTGGGGTGCTAACCCTGATGTCCTCAGAACCTCAGCTTTAGCGCTCAGTGTGTCGGCTGCAGAGTACGCTGCACCAGTATGGAATGCATCGTCACATGCAAAAAAGGTTGACATAGCAGTCAGTGACATGGCTCGGATTGTAACTGGGTCTTTGAAACCAACCCCAGTACACAAACTATCCTATCATAGGGATCACCCCTCCATCAATCCGACGTGATGTCGCTTCCGACGCAGAAAGGACTAAGCAAGAGACAGACCCTCGTCACCCATTACACGGCCACCAACCGACCAACCTGCAGAGCGACGGCTTCGGTCCAGAAAGAGCTTTTTATCACGGACACAAGTCCTGGATGGATCACTCTCAATCAATCGGGTGGTAAGGTGGGAGGCCACGTTGACTAACCCTTCCTTACCAGCCAGGGAGGAACTGGCTCCTGGTGGAGGCCTTCATTATACGGTGTGGAAGACCCTAAATCGAATTAGGGCCAAGGTGCCAAAATGCAGGACAAACATGCAGAAATGGGGTCTCTTACCAGACAAAGAAAACATCTTGTGCGCGTGTGGTGCTGTCCAGGATCCTGGCCATCTGCTGATCTGCCCACGCCTAGACCAGTCTTGCACATTTGATGATCTTTTACATGCGAATGACAAAGCCATATCGGTAGCTAATTTTTGGAAATGCGAAGTCTGATTTCCGGGCACGGAAAGTAAGTAAGTAGTATTAGGGGGGCCATATTGACTTCTATTTTGCGCTATTTAATTTGACTTGAGAAACCCTTTAAAATGAGGGGTCACATGATAGGTGTTTACATTTGAAAATTTGGGACTGCCCCAAAATACCCCATTTTGGGAGCCGGGTACAAGTTCTAACTGTAATGAAAAAGTGAATTTTTTTTAATCTTGTGAACATGTGCCAAGTTTGGTTTTCCCCCTGCCACACGTTATAAAGTTAACTGGAGGTGCCCAGACTTTATCTTTTGCTTGCTCATCTTAAATTAAAATGGCTGCCATTTTGATTAAGGGTGCTATATCGACCTCTGGTTTTCACCATTAAATTTATCTTGATATACCCTTTAAAATGAGCGGTCACATGATAGGTTTTTAAGTTTGAAAATTTGGGGCTGCCCCCAAAATACCCCATTTTGGAGGCTGAGGCAAAGTTGTAACTTTGATAAAAATTGCAATTTTTATTTTGTAAATATATGCCGAGTTTGGTTATCCTACTGCAACGCGTTAAAAAGTTAACTGGGGAGTTCCATACTTTTGCCTAACCCTGTAGATCTAAAAAAATAGATAAAAATTGTAAAAATGAACAAAATAAAATTATAAAAATAGATAAATAAAAGGAAACAGATCCAAATGTTGACATATGATACTAACAAAGCCCACACCAAATTTGCTGTAAATTGGTTTGCCCATTTTTGCGCAATGTCCAGTACAGGTTTCGTTACATAAATACTCACACACATACCCAGACCCACTCACACACAGACACACATAAGATTTCTTTCATATAATTTAGTAGGTCTCCGGTTTGTATTGTAGAGTCTTAGTTGGATTTAAGTTATATTTTAGAGTTAACAGGAGAATGGATTGTTTTAAAGGTAGTTTTTGTCGTATTTGTCGGCCATTTTGAATTTTGTTGCCGTGTGTGGAAATATTTAAAATTTCAAAAGGGCTCCTAGGCTAAAATTTATTAGTATACCCTAAGGTACCTTCATGCCACATTTGGTGCTTTTATCCACCAGGTAACGGTATTCGTAAATTAAAGCCCTAAGCCACCGGACTATTAGTAAGAGGGTTATGTTTGGTTTTAAAGAAAGGTTGTATAAGTTGTGTAAAGTGGCTTGACTAAAATTGAAGTATTGTGGTAAAACATCTCATACATGAAGCATCAATATGAAGCAATCGATGCTATTGCTACACTAAGGTATGTTGTCATATTCTTTTGGCTCTATAAACATCAAAAGTATGGGTTTGAAACTAAGTAGTAAGATTCTTTTAGTAACAAATTAAATCATAGAG